ATCTTCAATTGATTTTTCAAATTCGTTGAATACAGATATGGCCGCATCATGAGATTTGAAAGACTGGAAGATGCTATTCTTAACCACGATAACCATAGGAGAACATTCACTCCATGAGTAGTATATTCCTCGCCTTTTACCAGAAAATACAACATACATTTTTTAAGCACTATTCTTCTTCGACTGCACCATTAGATTCCTTAATCTATTCACTCACACTTAGAAGAACATAGGAGAGTAAGAAATGAAGAAACAATCAAGTATTAGGTTTTTTTAAGTATTAGGGTGAATATGGATAAAATATACCTTAGGGTTTTGTGTTCGGTCGTCTAGGGTTTAAATATTAGGGCTTTGAAGACCTTATTATATGAAATATATAAGAAATACACAATCAAGTATATGTATATAGATGAAGAAATTCGAAATATATACGTGTATAGTAGAAAAAGAAGATGAAAAATACGTTACGGGAAAGCAGGTGTGCATGCTTGATATTTTTCATGTATTTGGTAAGACAAGCATTCAATGGATGAGAGAAAAACATGGAGAGAATTTCGAACCCTAACGGGAAGGGCAGTTTGGCATAGGATTAGAGCAGAACCCCTAATTTGAGTGTGATTTTACATTAATAACCTCAGCTATTGTGGCAAAAAAGAGTGTGGCAGAAAGGAATTTTCCTATTATTATTATTCATATTCATTCGCGGTTTACGCTTTTACTACTCCCTTCGTTTCAATTTAGATGAGGTAGTTTAAGAGAAAAAAAAAGACTTTTAAAATTTGTGGTCTTAAAAGCTTGAGGGGTAAAAGCTTTATGGGTCATGACATTTGTGTGATTATAGAAGCTTCTCATCAAGGGTAAAATTGGTAAAATGAAGAGTTTAAAGTTGAATAATTTGCAATTGTAGAAATGTGTCATTCTTTTTGGAATGGATTAATAAGAAAAGTGTGTCATCTAAATTGAAATAGAGGGAGTACTTTTTTTCCCAAAGTCCGAACCTTGTTGGGAGTAGGACTACTGTCGCTCGAAATTGGAAACTATTTTAGGAAGTATATTATTTTTTATATAAATAGATACTTATATTATAATAATTTTAATTCATATACACTAACAACATAAAAATTATTTATGAAAAAATCTTCATACAAAAATAAATTTTTTTATCTTAAAAATTAAGAAAATTATTTACTACAGTAAGTAAAGGTCTGACTGTGTAGCCTTTGCAAGTTAATTTGAAGTATTATTATGTTTGAAAATATGAAATGAAAACCTTTGAAGTTTGATCCTTACATATTGGTCTTATTAAATAATTTTACTTAATTTCAATTTTCAAATTTTATAATTCAAATTTCAAATTTAACACTTAAAAGTTTAAAAGTTTAATTTTATATCTTAAAATA